TAGATAGATAGATAGATAGATAGATAGATAGATAGATAGATAGATAGATAGATAGCCATGTAAAATTCTGCATAAGAGTCAAATAAACAGTTAAACTTAAGATAATTACATTTTAAAGGTGTTCATTTCATGATTTAAACAGAGAGAATGGTTTTGGAACCTGTTTTAAATGATGATGACTTCACGAGCTCAGATATAAAAAAAATTCCCCCAAGCAATTATCTAATTTTGAGAATTTAAGTTGTGTTATGTGAATATAAAAAATAAACAAACTTGTCCTTAACAGCATGCATTAAAACACAATACTTACTGGTCAGGGTTATTCCACCACTGACCCCGCGGTGGTTGCACCATTGTAGCATACATTTCGATCATCTCAAATTCTCACGTGTTATTGAATTTTTAAGGCAAATTGTCAAATCTTAAAGTTGTTTCTTTTATTCTTTCTTTTTTTCAACCTATCCTAATTATAAATGAATGGGCTTGTCGTGCTCGCGCCTCAACCTGACGGGGACGCGCAATTCATTTTTCCAGCAGCGCAGAGAGGAGAGAGTTCAGCCTCCGGAGAGGGAGGAGAAAGGACTTCATGAAGGAATACGCTTCTCAGAGTTTGGACAAAAACCGCGTCCGTTGGGACACAATGAAGAGTCCTCGGTGTCTCTGTTAGGTTTTATCGGCGAACAGGAGTTGAGGAGCGCGCTTCGGTACGCTGGAGTCACCGCTGCAGCTTCTCCGAGTGAAAAGACGGCTTCAGTAAGGGAGGAACTTTGTAGAAAAAATGCAGGGAGTTTCAGCAACTGGTAAGTGAACTGCCCTCCTAAATGTTTCTGTCTGCTTATATTAAACACAGCCTCCACTTTCTTTTATCTCTGGAGTTGTTTCCAAACGGCTGCGGCTGGTATTACGCACAGGATTTCAATCTCCAAAATGCATTTAGCAGCTGTCAGCGGGGCAGCTGCAGGCCCGCATCTAGCTGGAGAATAGAAATAATAGAAGAAAGTTGCTTCGCTCCCCAGGCTGCCCAATAAACACAAACTAAAGGGAGCTTTAATACTGGACCTCCTTGGAAGCTCTGGATGACAGACAATCAGGACAAGAATAGGAGCAAAGCGGTGCCAAACCCTGAGAGAAAAAGGCCCTGACCTCACTGCGTCTGACTGAGCCCCCTCTCTCTGAAACACACACAAACCCTCACATTATATCTGCTGTAACTTAGTAAGCCATGAGCGGAAATCCAACTGTAAACACTCTTTCTGATAACAGGGGGGCTCCTGCACTGTCCTCCCTATTGTGGCTGTGACTGTGTCCTAGTGAGGAATGTGATTTAAGTGGAGGAGTAGGAGCGATTCAAACACTGGGGGTCTGTGAAAGTGCCTGACTTTATACATCTGTCCTGCCTGTAGACGATCAGTGAGATATGAGTGTGTTTTTTGTGGTTTCCTCTTTGCACTTTGTGCAGACATATTTATAGTGGTTAAATTATTTCACCAGAACTTGACTTGCATTTCTACCCCACAACTGAGTGATTAGTTTCTTACCTTCCTGTCCAGCCTCCATCTTCATGTTGCCCCTGGCTTAAATACACCATGCATTGTTGGATTTTATTTTCACCTACAGCTATGCATCATCATAAAGAATAGATAGGGAATGCTATTTGAAAATATGCAGAAGGAAAGTAGTGTCTTTTGTGCATATCTGCTGATGGTTTTCACAAATGGAATAAAAATAGCATATTTACATTAGTTTAGTTTGTAATAATACAAAAATGAGCAATAAATTGAATTCATACCAATGCAATTAAATATTTAAAATCAATTAATGATCAAGTGATTGGAGGGATGTTGACAAACCAACATCTTTGGGTTTCAGTCCATGTGTTCCCAATGCAGAGGCTGATGAGAGAATAACATAACTTACACTTCTTCCGAACCGTCACTGCTTTAACCCTGTTTATATTTCTGTTCAGACTGAAATGACCCTGTGCATATTTCATTGTAAGATATATAAATCTATATTCTGCTCTTATATGGCTTCCAAGTATAGCAGTGCTTCTTTCACAGCTGTTTTCTCTCCGACTGCTGAGCTATTGGATTATTTTCCTACTCCTTTCTCCTGGTTGTGACTGAATTAATGGCACTAATATAACCTGTAATCCAACTGGTTGGATTAGGTTCTCTTTTTGTCACCAGAAGTAGCTTTTGATTGAGTTTTGCAGGAAAACATCATTGGAAACAAAAAAACTTTTTCAATGGAACAAATGCCCAGACCATGTGGTTTTTATTTCAACTAGCTCTGATCGTTTGATAACTTTATCTGGCTATTCCAGTCTGCACTGGTCCTCTTTGCAAACTGCTTCCATGTGTTTTTTTTTTCTTTAAGCTGGAGGTCAGTTAGCCTCTTTGACCTTTGTCCAACCTTTGTCATTTAATCCATTCCTACTTCTGCTCTGTATAAATTAGAGTTCCTAAATTGTGGCACCAAAGGTTCTTTGTTCTCCATATTTTAGATGCATCTCTCTTCAACATGCCTGAATCAAATAATAATGTCAATAGCAGGACTCTGGGGAACTTGACTGCATACCGAGGAGGTAATTTAGCCATTCTTTTCAGATGTGTGGGAACAGAGATGCATCTAAAATGTGGAGGAAGTCTGACCTTGAGTTAAAAAAAACAGATTTCAATAAATCTTTTAAATAATATTACTCAAATTTAATAACCTTTGTAATCAGATAGGAATCTCCTGATCTAATATTAATATCGGATATCTGTCCAAGATTGGCCAAAAAACTAATAATGGATTTTATCACCTCCTGTTAAAAGTTTCTGTAACTCATTGGTTTGTTTTACATGGGTCAGTTGTTCTCATATTGTTTGTTGTTGACTTTTGTTCCCTGTTTTGTAATATTACTTGATCAAGACTTTTCTAACATTCTACATTGTAAAATAAGTAATTAAAGCTGGTATTATTCCTGCTAATATCTTATCTGGTCAATATCGGTATTGACCAATTCTCAGAGCTGCAATATGGGTATCGGCAATGGAAACTTTCATGAAGATAAATAGTCATAAAAGGGTGGAATCTTGTGTATGAATAGTGTTGCCTTAAATAAGTTTTTCTATAGCAAGTATTGTTGTTTTGTGAATCTAATTTTTATTTGGGCAATTGTGAAATATAACCCCTGATCTAATCAATATAAAAAACAGGAAATGTATTCTACTTGTTTTCAAATTAGCATGTGTAAAACTGGCATTCAGTATGCCCTTAGGAAAAACGTCTAAGGCAAATCTTTCTGATAACCACTCAATATTTCTCAATATATTTAGTTTTGTTGCTACCATATATAATACAATATACACACCTAGAAGTAGGATTTTGATTGAAACAAAAAGGGAAAGAAAATCTGATTAAAAAAGAACAAAACATCCAGTTACTTCTCTGAAGTTGGATGTTATGATGATTTACAATAAAAAAAAAAGATGAGTACCGGTATAAGGTGTTGTCCTAAGGATTAAAATTGGCTAAATAAATATTGAACCAATTTACACAAAGTAAAGGCTAATAGCTTTAATATCTTTAGTTTTTCATAGTTAACCACTGTCAGGGTAAATAGAAAAATTGTAAAAAGGCAAAAATCAAACAATTTTTAACAGGCTCTTTAAAAATGACTAATAAGTCAAAGAAGTAGTAGGAGGGTAAGGCCGGGGGAGAGCAGTACAGATGAAGTGCTGATGGGACGATATCAGGCAGCAGCTGAGGTAAACTATGCAGAGAGAAAGAGAGTCTGTTTGTTGTGAGGCTCATGGGAGGAATCGATCTGCCGTCCTCCTGGCTGACTTTCTTTTTCCTGCAGTTCGGCTGTGTATGGTTTCTCTCTCCCACACACACACTCATATTCATTCTCAAGGCCTGCCCCTTCATGATCATCCTTTGTTGTGTTTTTGCCGTTCCTCCATCCTCTCCCACACTGTCCCAGATCAATCTCTACCCCCTCTTCCTTAAAACCCTTTCTCATCCCCTAGGACACAGCTACAATCACATTTATCATTTTTTTCCTCCCCTTGACTCTACTTATACTTGGGAACCCCAGTCTGAGCTCTCTCTCCGATACTTATGTTTGTATTTATGATAGCAGGGTCATAGGGGTTGCAGGCTGCTTCCATCGGATCATCGGAGAATCTATTAAAACAAACCACATCACAAATAAACTGTGGTGGGATGGATAGCATGCCTCTCAGTCTGAGGCCCACCACAATCCTCTGACTTGTTTCCATAAACTTTATAGACAGATTTCACTCTCATTCCTGCACTCAGAGATGGCTCAGTGTTTCCCTGACAAATGCTGGTTGGCAGGAGGTCTGTAAGTAGCAGGGTGGATGTCCTGGCTGGATGTTTGGGTTTTTAATCATTAATACAATCCTAATGCGCCCGGCTATGTTAACAGTCCTAATGCATGCATCTCCTCTTCCCACTGAGAGTGTAAGAGCAAGATGAGGAGGACATTTTCCTGCACGGCAAACATTTGCCCACAACTATTTTAATTTAGACTATTGTTTAGTTTAGCTGTTGAACTTTGCCTGTGGAACATGGCACATTATCCCTGGGTGTGAATTATACAGTAACCTGGCAGGGCACAGGGGAGGGATTCAGTCCTCTACTGTATCTTTTCTTTGTTTATAGCAAAGTCTGTATGTCAGTAATGATGAATGAAACAGATTAGAGCAGCAGTCAGAAGGAGTACCCAGCAATCACTTTTAGGTTAAAGGAGTCACAAAGTTTTCAAGATCAACTCTGTAACCATAAGGTAAAGTCATGCAACAATATGGCCTTTTTCAGTCCTGGGATTTAAATGGGGTTAGCATTCCCAGAGTCATTTATAGATCAGGTTAGAGTGAACCTAACAGCACTAATCATGATTGCTGCTACTGTGAAACTGTTCTTTAGTTACATAAATAAATCCTTTTGTTATCGGTTTGTGAAAACTTCCCGTAAACTAGTGGATTTGGCATCAGATGGCCTCTTCTGTCTCACAGAAATAAGGAAAGAGCTGGATGGACTGTTGTCTGATTGAGTTTATTCTACCTTCTCAGGTTGCCGTTTTCATGCATCCTCTCAGAGAAACCCTGTAGTTGTCTCTCCACTGTGCATCCTTATATTCTTTAAGGACTACTCTCTTCCACCAGTCTATACTTGCATCCAGCCTGAAATGCGATAGCAGACTGGAACATGCAGAGAAGGAGTTCTTGGATATCTCATTCCTGATGTGCATGTAAACGAATTATATCTGACTGAGCCGTTATCTGATTTCCTCAGTTATCAGACTTCTGCTGTGCACGTAAGCACGCTCAGCGGTAACATGGTGATTAAAGCAGGTATGGGTTCCTTTGGCGGTGTGGGGATGTGCCAAGTTCAGGTGGAACATTAAACTAGTGTTTCTATAAACCCTGTCGGCTGAGGGAAGTGCTGTAAAATCTCCCGATGGGCAGCTAATCTGGTTTAGGACGTGATAAAAGGGACAGGTGACATGGCCCCCCAAATCAGCACGGATGCTGGAACCTTCACTCAGGAACTCAAGCAACTTTACTCTTTCTCCACATTCTGAGTTTGGAAGAAGCAGTTGTTGTTTTTTTTAACGCAATCCAAATAATTTCTAAAGTTTTATGTTTAGCAATCATACAGTAGCTTTCTCACATTTTCTGCCAACCAAAGCAGCGTTAATCCACAGACATTCAGAAGGTGAATAGAAATAGGCATTGGGTCTAAAGCTGATATACATCTACCGTAAATTAGCTATTGATTTCAT